AGCTGTGCTGAAGTCCAAAGAGTGTAACTCGTAGTCACGCTGAGCAGGGACGTGCAGCAACACCCGAAGAGTGGTCGTCTTCAGGGTGGGGGAGAAGGTCTGGAAGTAGTCGACTACCTAACGCTGACTGAAGCCTCGAGCAACGTAACGCGCCTTGAATGCAGGCGGAGAACCCGGTGGCCGCTTCACCCTGAAAATCCACATGCCATCGACTATGTTCGCCCAAGAGGGGGGAACTGCGTCGACGTAGGTGCCTTTGGACTTCCAGGATGCCATCTCGGCATCCATGGCTGTCTGCCACTGAGAGGAGTAAGGACCCGTAATCGCCTCTGCGTAAGAGCACGGGGTCGGGATGTCTGGTACATCCGGGTCTCCCTCAGGGGCAAGCAGCATGGAAGCGAAACGAGGTACAGCAGCCGCAAGCCACTCAAAGTCCTCCTGCCTGTCCTCAAGGACGTCCGTGCCAAGAGCACACTCACCCCCGACGGACGGAGGACTGGCAGAGTCAGACTCAGCAACAAGAGCAGTGGCGTACTCTAGACGACAGGCAGCAGCAAAGTCAACCAGCTCAGCAACGAGGGCAGACGCAGCAGGGGACTCAAAAGAAGGGTCAGTGACAACAGTGGCGAGGAGACGAGAGACAGTGGGACTAGCAGCACGAGCGAGGTCAGACTCAGGGTCATGGACGGCAGGAAGAGAGGACTAAGGAGGAGGCGGCAGAGGAACAAGCAGTGGAAAAGAGGAAGGACGAAGTGCCATAGCGTGGGTGCCGGGGACAGGAGGAGGACGCGGACGAGGAACGCGACGACTAGTGGGAACAGTGCGAACAGGCGAGGCAGGACAAGACGCAGGCTCACGACGCTCAATAAGACCTACAGTCTGCTTAGTGTAAGGAGAATGAGCAGGTAGTGGGGAGGCTTGCTGTAACGGCGGCTGTGACTGGTGAGGCGGTGGACATAGTAAGGGAGGAGTAAGGCCAGTAGAAGATGGGAGACCCAGAACCTGCTGAAGCAGGGGAACGAAGTACGGTCGCGGCCGCATAGTGCCTCCAGCACCAGCACCACCAGACACAGCACCTCCGGCTCCTGCCCCTCCAGCTCCAGGGTCAACAGCTCCAGTGTCTCCAGCTCCAGCGCCACCAGTGCTAGGGCCTCCAGCTCCAGCACCAACAGCTCCGGTGTCACCAGCTCCAGCTCCTCCAGCTCCAGCACCACCAGCGCCAGTGCCTCCAGCTCTAGCGCCTCCAGGCTCCGCAGGGTCTATAGCTCCAGCTCCTCCAAATCCAGCGCCCCCAACACTACCAGTCCCGGCAGCTCCAGTACCCCTGGTACGAGCACCTCCAAGACGAGTAACTCCAACACCTCCAGCTCCAGTGTCTCTAGCAGCAGAGTCTCCAGCTCCGGCAGCTCCACTCCGAAGGCGTGTGTGCTGAGCAAACCACTCGCGCAGCTGCTGCGGGGAGATAGAGGCGATGGGAGCCAACGTGCAGTCGGCGGCGTCGAGGGAGCAGATGGCGCTGACGGCGGACGCCGTGCGCACGTACGTGCCGGAGATGGTGGAGCTGCTGGCGGACACCGTCAGGAACTCGCTCTTCCACGACTGGGAGGTCCAGGAGCAGGTCAGCTCCCCACGGGTGCGCTTTAGACCTGGGGCAGGGTGTCAGTCCAGAGAAGGGGCCGGGGAAATGGGGGAAGGGGGTTAGGGGCGGAGGGGGAGGTGTAGTACGGGTTGGCCTCGTCAAAGACCACGTCCCGACTACGGATGAGGCGGCCTGAGGGGGGGTGGAGGAAAAGGTAGTCAGGTGAGTTGGTGTTGTGTCCAAGGTAGACACAGGGGAGTGTGCGGGACGCAAGCTTTCCACGTGCGCGTGAGCGGTCAGCAGGGTGTATGAGGACATACGCCTTGCAACCCCAGACGCGCAGAGGAGATATATCAGGCTTGCTGGAGGTCCATAGTTCGGTGGGGGTGGAGGTGGGACGGGAAGGGTGGGGGTAGAGGTTAGTGAGGATGGCAGCATGAAGGATGGCATAGCCCCACAGAGAAGGTGGGCAGGAGGCGTGAACGAGGAGGCACCGAGCCGTTTTGGTGATCTCCCGCACGCGGCTCTCCGCCACACCATTCTGCTGAGGAGAGTGAGGGAGAGTGTAGGTGTGGAGGATGCCGTGAGTGGTGCAGTAGGAGGACAGGGTGTGGTTGAGGAACTCACCACCTCCATCGGAATGGAAGCGGCGAACAGGGCGACCGAAGTGGTTGCGTGCTTGTTCAGCCCAGGCAGTGATGGCAGCCGGGGCCTCCGCCTTCGTACGAAGGAGGGTGACGGAGGAGTATCGACTGTGATCATCCACCAGGATCAGGAGATAGCGATGTCCTTGCCTGGTGGGGGAAGGGTTAGGGCCCCACATATCCATGTGAACGAGGTCAAGGGGTTGGAGGGAAAAGGAGGGGTTACTCGTGTGTGGTTGTTGCTTCAGCTTGTTTTCAACACAAACTGAGCAAGGAGGGGAGGGGGACGGAGGGAGGGGGGGAAGGGTAAGGGGGAGACCGTCAAGGAGTTTATTGAGGATGGATCGGCGAAGGGTGGCAAAGTTGGGATGGCCTAGGCGATGGTGGAGGAGAATGGTGGGGTGTGTGAGATTACGACAGTGACAGGGGGAGGGTGGGTTAGATGGGGGGGGGGGGGGGAAGGGGCGGGGGGAGGGGGAGGGGGAGGGGGAGGGGGAGGGGGAGGGGGAGGGGGAGGGGGAGGGGGAGGGGGAGGGGGAAGGAAGGGGGGAGGGGGAGTTGGAGGGGGAGGGAGAGGTTCGAGAGGAGGGGAGGGGGCGGGGGGATGGGGTGTGGAGAGTTGGTGAAGGGTGGGGCGGGGGATGCGGAAGGTGTACATGTGGGTGGAGGGGCACCAATGGACACGGCAGAGGAAGCGACCGGAGGGGGTGTGAAATAAGTCACAATATGCTGCGTGACCAGGAAATAAGGCGGTGACACCTGCCGTTGAGAGGGCACCAAGGGAAACCAGGTTGTTACGAAGGGAGGGGACATAGAGACCTGTGACAGTACCTGAGGGAAAGAGGGGACAGGGGAGTGTGGAGGTGTAACGGCTTTGTATGGCAAAGCTTGAGTCAGCCCCATAGATTGTGGAGGGGGTGGAGAGGGGGAGGAGCGTGCCTGCATCACGAAGGACCGTGTGGGTGGCACCGCTGTCAAGGATGAACTCAAGGGGCTGAAAGGAGGAGGACACGGAGTACTGGAATGAGGACTCATTAATAGCATTGGCATACATAGGATTATTGCAAGAGCTAGCAGTGGTGACATGACCTATGAATCCTGTGGAAGGAAACGGTGTGAAGCCGGGGGGGTGAGAGGAGGAGGTGGGTTGTTCAGTAGTTGCAGCAGTTGCAGCAGTTGCGGTAGTTCTATGGCCATACATAGATGGGGGGTAGGGAGGGTAGGGCCAGCCGGCATAAGGAGGAGGATAGAGAGGAGGATAGGGGGAGGGAGGGGTTGGAGGTGGGGGCGTGGGTGGAGGCGGAGTGGTGAGGGTGGAGGGCGTAGGGGTGGTGGTGGGTGTGGGAAGAAGGTGTTGGACTTGCTGGAGGACGTGAGGGGAGAGGTGCTGAGCGAGGACATTATGGAGGTTAGGTGGAGAGGGTGCATAGGTGGAGAGGGTGCGAATATCATGAGGGGTGGGGCGAGGGGTGATAGTGTTCCAACGTGGAGGGGGACCTGTGTTGCCGCGTGCAAGCCATTCATCAGTGAGGGCTTTGAAGCACGTTTCAGTTGGATGAGTGGTCTGGTTGCAGGTCTGACCTTTGTTGGGGCCTTGACGAATGACGTACTGACACGGGGGAAACCCACCCGTGGATGGAGCAGTTGCTCCACGTCCGCCGCGTTCCCCAGTGCGCCCTCCTCGTCCGCCTCCGCGACCGCCTCCTCGACCTCCTCCACTTGAACCACGTCCAGGTCCGCTGCTGCTGCTTCCGCCAGTGTTATTGGTTCCTTTGCGAGCGTGAACAGCATTGACCGTTGCAGAGTCACGCAGGAGGTCAGCCTCACTGTCAAGGAGCCAGTCGATGGTAACAGCTACAGGGGGAGGACGAATGTGCTGGGAGGTGAAGTTGATGCGGTAAGTGTCATAGGTGGGTGGGAGGCAGTCAAGGATGCGTGCTGTAAGAAGGGTGTCTGAGATCAAGATGCCTCGATCATTGAGGCGTTGCGCAGTGTCCGTGAGACGCCGAGCGAAGGAGGCAGCATTGAGGGAGGAGTCAATGGTGATGTCTTGGAAGGTGCGAAAGAGGGAGAGGAGTGAGCGTAAGTCCTGACGGTCATATTGGGCGGAGAGAGACTTCCAGAGAGAGGGGGAGGATGGAGGGCGAAGGTCACGTTTAAGGGAGGAGGGAACGCACGAGAAGATGACAGTGAGTGCACGGCGGTCAGCAATGCGCCATGCAGCAGTATCGGAGTGATGCTTACGAAGGTTAGTAGAGTACGCTTCGGAGATGGCTTTGAACTCTGCAAGCTTTGCAGTAGCAGCTTCGTGAGCGGCGACGGCAGCCGCGTGTGCTCTGCCCTTGATGACGTAGTCATCTCGCTCCTTGTTGTACTTGTTGAGGGTGCGAGCCCACCTGTCTGGGTCATCCTCCCAAGCCCCTAGGATGGGGGCTTGAGGGGCGGGTTCGGTCGGGAGTGGTGGGGCGTCAGGAGGGGAGGAGCCTGGGAGCGGGGGTGGGGTGGGAGGGAGGCCGTGAGGCGTTTCGAGGACGACGTCAAGAAGGCAATAATCTCCCACTCGGACGGAGCCAAGGTACGTGAAGAGACTCTCCTCAAACGACACCCAATTGACTGCGGTGGTGCCGTTGAGGAGCTCGAGTTTGTCAATCGAGGCGAGCTCAAGCGACGAAGGTTCGTCCGCCATAACGAGTGAGGGAGGAGGGGGGGGGGGGGGGAGGAGGGGAGGGTGGAGGTGCTAGAGGTGACGACGCTGTCCGGAGGGACGGCGCGGTCAGTGGTGGGGATGAGTTGCGTGCTGTCCGCAGCTGGGTACTCCCCCGTCTGGTCGCGTTCGCGGCTGCCCGCGTTCATCCCGTCCGCGGCTGCTGCCCGCGTTCGTCCCGTCCGTAGCTGCTGCCCGCGTTCGTCCCGTCCTCGGCGCTGCCCGCGTTCGTCCCGTCCGCGGCGGCTGCCCCCGTTCGTCCCGTCCGCGGCGGCTGCCCGCGTTCGTCCCGTCCGCGGCGGCTGCCCGCGTTCGTCCCGACCGCGGCGGCTGTCCGCGGATGTCGCGTCCGCGCTGCCCGTCGGCGCGGACGTCGCGACCGCCCTCGTCGTCGGCGCGGGTGGCGCGTCCGCGCTGCCCGTCGGCGCGGACGTCGCGACCGCCCTCGTCGTCGGCGCGGGTGGCGCGTCCGCGCTGCCCGTCGGCGCGGACGTCGCGACCGCCGTCGTCGTCGGCGCGGGTGTCGCGTCCGCGCTGCCCGTCGGCGCGGACGTCGCGTCCGCCCTCGTCGTCGGCGCGGATGTCGCGTCCGCGCTGCCCGTCGGCGCGGACGTCGCGTCCGCCCTCGTCGTCGGCGCGGACGTCGCGTCCGCGGTTGTCGGTCGCGGTCGTCGCGTCCGCGGCTGACGGTCGCGTTAGTCGCGTCCGCGGCTGACGGTCGCGTTCGTCGCGTCCGCGGCTGACAGTCGCGTTCGTCGCGGCGGACGGTCGAGGGGAGGAGGGGAGCGCCGAGATGGCGCGAGGGGCAGGGCAGAGCCGGCGGAAGTGCGCTAAGTTGCGCGAGAGGCGCGGCAGAGCCGGGGAGAGGTGCGCTAAGTGGCGCAAGAGGTGCGGCAGAGCCGGGGAGAGGTGCGCTAAGTGGCGCGAGAGGTGCGGCAGAGCCGGGGAGAGGTGCGCTAAGTGGCGCGAGAGGCGCGCTAAGTGGCGCGTGAGGCGCGGCAGAGCCGGCGAGAGGTGCGCTAAGTAGCACGAGGGGTCCTAGGATCTTGAGCGGCGTTGGCCGTAAGAGCTCTGATAACCATGTTAGAATTGAACCATTGAGTTGATTAGGAATCATACGGGCTTACATAGTTGAAGCTAGGGGAGGGGGGGTTGGTTGGGTACCTAGTCATCATTATTGCCCCCCCACCAATAAGTTAGGTTGGAGAATTATTGGGGGGTCCCAATAATGTTGGCCAAAAGTGGGCCAACATTATTGGGGGGGCCAATAATCTCTCAACTCAACCTTGGGGGCCAATAATTGGACCAAGGTTGGGTTCCAACCCCCAACTAGGGTTAACCCTAGTTGTGCACCCAAACATAGTTTGGGTGCCTATCTCTGTCCTAGGGTTTATAGGATCAATGCAGGATACAGAAGAGTAGTAGAATCTAACAGAGGCGGGAGGTGAGGCGCAAGGTGAGGCGAGAGGTGAGGCGAGAGCTGAGGCGCGAGGTGAGGCGCGTGGTGAGGCGCGAGGTGAGGCGCGAGGTGAGGCGGGAGGTGAGGCGAGAGGTGAGGCGAGAGGTGAGGCGAGAGGTGAGATGAGAGGTGAGATGATAGGTGACACGGGAGGTGAGGCGGGAGGTGAGGCGAGGGGTGAGGCGGGAGGTGAGGCGCAAGGTGAGGCGAGAGGTGAGGCGAGAGCTGAGGCGCGAGGTGAGGCGCGTGGTGAGGCGCGAGGAGAGGCGCGAGGTGAGGCGCGAGGTGAGGCGAGAGGTGAGGCGAGAGGTGAGGCGAGAGGTGAGACGATAGGTGAGGCGAGAGGTGAGGCGGGAGGTGAGGCGAGAGGTGACGCGGGAGGTGAGGCGGGAGGTGAGGCGAGGGGTGAGGCGGGAGGTGAGGCGCGAGGTGAGGCGAGAGGTGAGGCGAGGGGTGAGGCGAGGGGTGAGGCGGGAGGTAGGCGGGAGGTGAGGCGAGAGGTGAGGCGAGAGGTGATGCAAGAGGTGAGGCGGGAGGTGAGGCGAGAGGTGAGGCAAGAGGTGAGGCGGGAGGTGAGGCGAGGGGTGAGGCGAGAGGTGAGGCGGGAGGTGAGGCGAGAGGTGAGGCGAGTGGTGAGGCGGGAGGTAGGCGGGAGGTGAGGCGAGAGGTGAGGCGAGGGGTGAGGCGGGAGGTAGGCGGGAGGTGAGGCGAGAGGTTAGGAGAGAGGTGAGGCGAGAGGTGAGGCGAGAGGGAGAGGTGAGGCGGGAGGTGATGCGCGAGGTGAGGCGAGAGGTGAGGCGAGAGGTGAGGCGCGAGGTGAGGCGCGTGGTGAGGCGCGAGGTGAGGCGCGAGGTGAGGCGCGAGGTGAGGCGCGAGGTGAGGCGAGAGGTGAGGCGAGAGGTGAGGCGGGAGGTGAGGCGGGAGGTGAGGCGCGAGGTGAGGCGCGAGGTGAGGCGAGGGGTGAGGCAGGTGGTAGGCAGGAGGTGAGGCGAGAGGTGAGGCGAGAGGTGAGGCGAGAGGTGAGACGAGAGGTTAGGCGAGAGGTGAGGCGGGAGGTGAGGCGAGAGGTGACGCGGGAGGTGAGGCGAGGGGTGAGGCGGGAGGTAGGCGCGAGGTGAGGCGCGAGGTGAGGCGAGGGGTGAGGCAGGTGGTAGGCGGGAGGTGAGGCGAGAGGTGAGGCGAGAGGTGAGGCGAGAGGTGAGGCGAGAGGTGAGGCGGGAGGTGAGGCGAGAGGTGACGCGGGAGGTGAGGCGAGAGGTGAGGCGGGAGGTGAGGCGAGAGGTGACGCGGGAGGTGAGGCGGGAGGTGAGGCGAGGGGTGAGGCGGGAGGTGAGGCGCGAGGTGAGGCGAGAGGTAAGGCGAGAGGTGAGGCGAGAGGTGAGGCGCGAGGTGAGGCGCGAGGTGAGGCGCGGGGTGAGGCACGAGGTGAGGCGAGAGGTGAGGCGCAAGGTGAGGCGCGAGGTGAGGCGCGAGGTGAGGCGAGGGGTGAGGCGGGAGGTAGGCGGGAGGTGAGGCGAGAGGTGAGGCGAGGGGTGAGGCAGGAGGTAGGCGGGAGGTGAGGCGAGAGGTTAGGCGAGAGGTGAGGCGAGAGGTGAGGCGAGAGGTGAGGCGAGAGGTGAGGCGGGAGGTGAGGCGAGAGGTGACGCGGGAGGTGAGGCGGGAGGTGAGGCGCGAGGTGAGGCGCGAGGTGAGGTGCGAGGTGAGGCGAGAGGTGAGGCGAGAGGTGAGGCGAGAGGTGAGGCGCGAGGTGAGGCGCGAGGTGAGGCGCGAGGTGAGGCGCGAGGTGAGGCGAGAGGTGAGGCGCGAGGTGAGGCGCGAGGTGAGGCGGGAGGTGAGGCTGGAGGTTAGGCGAGAGGTGAGGCGAGAGGTGAGGCGAGAGGTGAGACGAGAGGTGAGGCGAGAGTTGAGGCGGGAGGTGAGGCGAGAGGTGACGCGGGAGGTGAGGCGAGGGGTTAGGCGAGAGGTGAGGCGAGAGGTGAGGCGAGAGGTTAGGCGAGACGTGAGGCGAGAGGTGAGGCGAGAGGTGAGGCGGGAGGTGAGGCGAGAGGTGACGCGGGAGGTGAGGCGGGAGGTGAGGCGAGGGGTGAGGCGGGAGGTGAGGTGCGAGGTGAGGCGAGAGGTAGGCGGGAGGTGAGGCGAGAGGTGAGGCGAGAGGTGAGGCGGGAGGTGAGGCGAGAGGTGACGCGGGAGGTGAGGCGGGAGGTGAGGCGAGGGGTGAGGCGGGAGGTGAGGTGCGAGGTGAGGCGAGAGGTGAGGCGAGGGGTGAGGCGGGAGGTAGGCGGGAGGTGAGGCGAGAGGTGAGGCGAGAGGTGAGGCGGGAGGTGAGGCGAGAGGTGACGCGGGAGGTGAGGCGGGAGGTGAGGCGAGGGGTGAGGCGGGAGGTAGGCGGGAGGTGAGGCGAGAGGTGAGGCGAGAGGTGAGGCGGGAGGTGAGGCGAGAGGTGACGCGGGAGGTGAGGCGGGAGGTGAGGCGAGGGGTGAGGCGGGAGGTGAGGTGCGAGGTGAGGCGAGAGGTGAGGCGAGGGGTGAGGCGGGAGGTAGGCGGGAGGTGAGGCGACAGGTGAGGCGAGGGGTGAGGCAGGAAGTAGGCGGGAGGTGAGGCGAGAGGTGAGGCAGGAGGTGACGCGAGAGGTGACGCGGGAGGTGAGGCGGGAGGTGAGGCGAGTGGTGAGGCGAGAGGTGAGGCGAGAGGGGAGGCGCGAGGTGAGGCACGAGGTGAGGCGCGAGGTGAGGCGCGAGGTGAGGCGAGAGGTGAGGCGCGAGGTGAGGCGAGAGGTGAGGCGCGAGGTGAGGCCCAATTGAGGCTCGTGCTGGGGTGAGAGGTGAGGCGTGGCGAGTTCATGGGTGGGGAGTGCATGGGGGTAGAGGATGCTTGGTGGTACATGGTGTGTGCCTCTCCACCATTGCATGCCTCTGCTTTGCTCGAATCCCACATCCACTATCTTCCTTGCTTTACCTGCAACGCTTCACTGGAGTGCTGTGGTGGTGGTCACCACCCCCCCCCCTCTGTGTGCGTGCAGGGAGCTGTATGAGGTGGCCATCGCAGTGCACGTGCGCAGCGGTCACGGCACCACCGCCCTTCACCTGCACCGCCTCATGGACGCCGCCCATCCCTCCCTCCCTGCCGCCCGTCCTGCCACCCATGGCACCCTGCCTGCGTGTGAGGATGCTGCCCCGCCTGCTCCCCAAGGTGGCCTCCAGAGGGCCTCGCATGGTGCTGCCTGCGCAGCTCATGGGGATGCGACGCCCCCAGCACAAGGGAGTTCGGTGGAGGCAGGGAAGGCGTTGGAAGAAGCATCGCGATTGGAGGGGGCTGGACATGGGCAAAGACGGGGGAACACGTGGAGTGGAGTGGCAGGGCGAGTAGCGGATGGGCAGAGCGGATGTTTGCAGCCCAGCAGCAGCAGCAGCAGCAGCAGCAGTGAGGGAAACATGAGCAGCAGCGAGGAAGCTTCCTCGGAGCTCACGTTTCTGGAAGCCATTGATGCCGCGCTCACCCACGCCCTGGCTCAGGTGTGCCCTCACCCACGCACGCCCTGGCTCAGGTGTGCCCTCACCCACGCACGCCCTGGCTCAGGTGTGCCCTCACCCACGCACGCCCTGGCTCAGGTGTGTCCTCACCCACGCCCTGGCTGAGATGAGGTTGTGAGCTGTTCTTGCATGGGTTTGTTGCCACTGTCTCTTCCACCTGTCAGTGTCCCGTTGCAGCGCCTGTGTGCAGTGATGCTGCGTGCACGGCCAAGTGTGTGGTGCCTGGCTGCCCCCCCCACAGGACATTGCACGCGCCTCCTCTGCTGCGCCGCCACCCCCCTCCTGCAGCAGCACTGGCAGCGCGCGCAACAGCATGGGCGGAGGTGTGGGGAGGGGCATGGCACATAGAGGGCACAGCAGTGGTGGCAGTGAGAGGGTGGAGAGTGCGTGCAGGCAGGAGGGGTGGGAGAGAGGAGCAGGGGAGGGGAGGGAATGCAGGGAGGTGGGCGCATGGATGGCCAGGCGGGTGGCAGTAGCCGATGGGAGGAGGCAGTGGCAGAGAAGGTGGCGAACAAGGCTGATTCGGGTGGCATTTCCGGATTGGTTGCTGACCTGGCAGCGTCAGGCATTCGGGTGAAACCACGGTGAGGATGCATGGTGGGGGAGCAGTGGTGAGAGAGGAGGAAGGGTAGGAAGAAGAATGTGGCTCTTTTGGCAAGTGGCAGTACGTTGTATATCACGCAGGCGCTCATGCCTGCGGCCCTGCCACGTGCTAATCATCTTCTCCTGTGCGTGCCCCCATTCACCACAGGGGGTGGGAGCTGTTCTTCCTCTCACCGTGCTGCTTCCCCCCCTCACCCTCCCCGCCCCGCTCGCCCTCCCCGCCCCGGCAGTGCCGTGCAGAGCGCCATCCGCCAGCTGCTGCTGCATGACGACTGCCACACCGCTCTCGCCGCCGCTGCTGCACCTCCCGCCCGCCCCACCCACCCCGCTGCACCCGCCGCCACTGCCATCGCCATCCGGCGGCCCGCGACAAGCAGCGAGGCAGCAGGGCGAGTGGGCGAGGTGGAGAGGGCAGAGGCGAATGAAGAGGAGGCAGGCAGCGGTGGGGGGGGCAGCGATGCAGAGGCGGTGCCGTGGCTGGAGCGCGCCATCAGCCTCGTGGATGCTCTGCCGCGTCTGGTGGGTCACGGCATGGCTGTGATGCCATGGCCGGATGGCATGACTGTGACTGGGCATGAACGGAAGTGGGTTTGATTTGAGCCCTTGTTGTTTTAGTTGAATGAGTCCACATGGATCTTGCTTTTTCATGTTGGCTTGTTGAGCCCTTCTTACAGACAAAAGTGCATTCACTCATACTCAATCCCCAGAAACGGTTTGTAGAGTTGCAATTCTTCTTGGACATGAGCAATGTATGGAGGGGAGGGGGGGGCTTTCTATTGCCCATCTAGTGCGAGTCAAACTGCTTTTACCAACCCCACCATTCCATGGTCGTACACATCATTTGCCCCCTTTTTGGGCAACAAGAAGGAAGCTGGAGCTCGTTTCGAGTCATAATTGTGCGTGTGTGTGTGTGTGTGTGTGTGTGTGTGTGTGCGCGCGTGTGTATGTGTGTGTGTGTCTGTGCGTGTGTGTATGCAAGTGTGTGTGGATGTGTGTGTGCATGTGTGTGTGTGCATGTGTGTGTGTGCATGGGGCACGACAGTTCGCCCAGCAGCCAACGGCCTATGTGTATGCGGAGCTGCTGCGAGCGTGTGTGCGCAAGCGGCAGTGGCGGTGGGGGGAGCAGCTGTGGCAGCAGATGGGGGCGGCGGGCGTGCAGGCGGACGTGCCGTGCTGGCAGGCCCGCCTGCGCTGCCTGGGGGCTCTCAACCGCGTCGCAGGCACGTCGCACGCGCTGCTGGCGGAGGCGGCAGCAGCGGGCACGGCCATGGAGAGACACCCCGACCTGCTGCGGTGCGCTGCTCCCCCCTGCTCTGCACCATGCTGCCTTGCTGCTCCCCCCGTGACCATTGCCTTTTTCCCATTTCTCACTTCATTTACCCTTCCTTGCCCTTTGCTGATTGTCGCTTGCCCTTTTACCTTGAACTTTGCCCCGTGCTCTTTGACCTTCTCTGTGCCCCTTGCACTCTGCCGCTTGCCCCTTTCCCTCTGTCCTTGCCTCTCCTTCGCCTTCGCTTTTGAACCTTGTCCCCCTTTCTCCTTCGCCTTTGCTCCTTGCCCCTCTTTCACCTGTGCCCCTTACTCCTTGCCCTTTCTCCTTCACCTTTGCCACCTGCCCTTTTCCATGTGCCATACACCAAGTGACCCCCCCCTCTCCTGCTCGCCCCAGCAGTGCACTGCTGAGGGAGTGCCAGCGGGCCAATGACAGTGACGGGGCAGCCTTTGTGCGCAACATGCTCGCCATGTCCCAGCGACACTCCTAAACAGGGCTCTTGCTAACTTTTAGGCCCGTCTGACGTTTTCCATGAAAAAAAAAAAATCGTCTGGCCCTCATATGGAGGATTCCTGGTGGTCTTTGCCTCAGACGGATTTTATAAGTTAGTATGTCGGCTCAGACAGATTTTCGCGAAATCAGACATTTATTTAGTTATATAGTCTTCACACAGACTACACTCTACTCTACTCTATTACTACAGTTAACCATACATTCATATTGAACTAGGATTCACTATCGCTATCATGAGAAGAATATTCCTCGTCGTCCCCGTCTAGCTCTGAATCTGAAGCAATGTGCTCTTTGCCATGGTCTGCCCGTCTCTGCCAGGGGCCCAACTCCTCCTCTAGCCTGGCTGCTTCTTCTGCAGCTGCTGCTTCACGAGCAGCAGCCTCTGCTGCTGCTGCTGCTGTTGCTGCCACCTGCTTCGTGGCCAACATCGCAAGGGTCTTCCTCGTGCGCTTCACAGGCCTTTGCGCATGCACCATCACGACATCCTTGGCTGGGCGTCTCTTCTTCGCACCTCTCCACAGCTCTACAAGGGCGGGCCAGTTAGGTTCGTACTTCAGCATGGAGATGGTCATCAGGTCGCCAAGCTTCGCGTCGTTGAGATTGCCGCGTAGCCAGCTCTTGATGACGTTTTGGCGGGAGAAGCCCCGCTCGCACTCCACGGTGCTCAGGGGCAGCACTGCGACCGCCATCCAAAGGCGGACCAGGTTGGGGTAGGCCGTGCACCAATCGGGCGAGCTGAGCATATGCTTCAGGCCGTCCTGGAAGCTCAGCTCGCGGTGATGGGTCGACATGATCGTGGTGAAACTGCTGATCTCCTTCTGTGCTCTCGTCCAGTTGATTCCTGGTGGCGGGGTGTGAATCAGAAACCAGTTTAATGAGAATACAAGCTGTTTAATGAGAATAAGTACACAAACTCATACAACCAACGAAGCATAACGTGACACAAACATAGAAAATTCAATCAATGACAACCGAAATCGAAGACGTACCAGGCAGGGTGTCAGGGTCGGACGGTTTCCGCTTAAACAGATTGCGGAGAGCCTCCAGCCACTGCAAAAACCGACGCTGCCGCTTCGAGTGAGATTTCGGGTACGCCCCCTGCGTGAACAGCTTGGCGCCGTCGAGAGAGCCCAGATCCTTCATCCGGCTCTCCAGTCGCTTCAGCAGCTCCTTCACGTACCCCTTCGCCAGTGTGATGCAGTCGTCCAGGCCCGGGCCAGATATCTGACCCTTGATGTTCTGTTCATGGAGGGTGTACTCATGAGTAGTTGGGGCGCCAGTCGAGTCGGTGCCCGTCACCTTCACTTCCCTTTTTTCCGACGAGGCGTGCTTCGACAAGAAGGCGCTCAGCTCGTTGCTCCCATCGCCGAAGTCGTCTGCGTCACTCAGGTAACGGTTGCGAAGGGTGAGCCTAGTGTTGTCCACCATCTGCAGCACGTGTGTCACGTCGACCTGCCACACACACATGAGAGGCAGTGGAAAGGCACGCACGGGTAAATATCTCATTAATACGATTCATTAACACTAAAAACAGTTAACAGCAAGAGGCGTAACAGCGTACCTGCCGTCGCTGGAACTTGAGGTTCAGTGCGTTGAGTTCCTTCAACACATCAGCCAAAAAAAAACAGCATGAAATGGAATTTCAAACTGGTTACAATGAGGTACGCCTTCGGGTCGTTCTCGTACAACAGAATCACAGCAGCTGGAAGGTTGTCAGCCAGTCGCTGAACCGCCAGACCACGTGAAAGCCACCTGACGCTGTAGATGCCCTGCAACTCCAGGTTCGTTTCACACAGCACCTCCTGCAGCTCTTTGAAGCGTAGGTGGAAGTTGCCCGACCGTCCAAGGAGCTCCGCTAAGGAACGGACGACATGGTCGACGATGTCAAGGTCGGGGTAGGCCTCTGCTGCATCCTTTGCGGCCAAAGCTTCCCTGAAGATACATATGCAACGCTTAAAAGGTGAGCATAATATCACAGGGTTACAAACCTGTGCGCGATGCAGTGGAACCCGGCGAGGTGTGGAATCCGTGCACGAAGGCGTGCCACCAGGCCCGTCTGAGAACCGACCATGACGCTTGCACCGTCAGTGCTGATGCCACTGATGCGCTCAAGGTCGAGGCCGGTAGACTCCAGGTGGGTTAGAAGGACTGCCTGCAGGGAACCAGCATCGCACTGCTCAACTGTTAGGTGTGCGAAAATTTCGGTGACTGGAGTGTTGCTGCGGAGGAACGACAAGTAGACTATCAGGTGCTTCCCGCGCCGACGGTCCGTGCTCTCGTCCAATTGAATGCCCAGGTAAGGACTCTCCCGGATGTGCTTCATCTGTTGAGCACGGAGGTAGATGACGAGCGTCTCAACCAACTGCGCAAACCCGTACCTGTAACGACCAGAGAGAAGGTAATTAGTACCGTGGTTTCCAACTAAAGGACGCGCAAAAAAAACATAACACTTACTCGCTGTAGTAGGTGCCGGGATCCTTCAGGGGCATGTCGGGCGTGCCCATCTCTGCCATGAACTGGACCAGCGTCACAAACAGCACAATGGGTGAGTCGCTTCTGCAAATAAAAATAACTGTTGCCAGGAGTTTTGTCAAACGATTGGCTTCCCCGTCACCATTTTCAAAGTCGACAATCGACTTCTGAGCAGCATTCTTGCAGTCACGCAACTGTTGGCGGTCCAGTGACGCCTCATGCTTGATGGAATGCTGATGTTTCCGCAACGTGTGTTGTTGAATGTCAAGCCCACCCTCTCCATCGCGGCCGTACTGGTAGCTGGGGTCTCCGTGCACCATGCAGATTGAACACCTCATGCAGGGTTGACCCCATGAAGTCTCCGAGATGATGAGCCACGGGAAGTGCTTGAGCCATTTCTCGTTGGCCTTCTGCTGCCACTGCTCGACGGTCAAGACGCGCGGATACTTGTCGTCGTCGTTGGCGGCGACGGGCTGTGACGGGCCCGGGCGAGGTGTGCTAAAGCGGGGGACGGTTGCTGGCGGGACACCTGCAGTGGGACGGGCAAAGCTCAGAATTCGCTGTTTGTATTTACCGTTCCCTGCTCTGATGCGAGAAACAGAAATCGCCGGTAGAGTTGTGGCCACAGATGCCGAAACGGGTTGCGGCGAAGACTCAGCTTCAGCCGGGTTAGGCTGGGTCGTAGTCTCAGTAGCGTCTGACGTGGATTGCCAGGGGATAAGCGGCTCGTCGTTGCATGATGTGATGACGTTGGGGGAAGGAATTACAGGCGGAGGCGTCTCGAGTGCGGCAGTGGTGGTCACAGGAATTGCTGCCGGAGTTTTACGGGTTAGGAAATATAACGCAGAAACCTGTGGCTCGTCAGGTACCCCGGGTGGATCACGCCTAGTGCCGTCGGTTGACTCGAGGGCGCCATATAGCATGGTGTGAGGTGGTGTATCACATCACATGAGGCAGTAGCAACACAGGAATTCTAGACGGTACGCGGGAACAAGCTACGGGACGATAGGTATGCTTTGGGCTAGGCGTCAAAGATTGAAAGGCAAAGGCAGGTTGTCAAATAAAGGCTTGGAGAAGAAAGGAAGGGAAGGGACCATCACCTCACGAACCGCGCCGCGCCTCTCTCACGAGGGTTTCACGAAGGTGGGTGCATGCTTTGTTTTGGTGTGCACTGACTGTCCTTGACCTCTGCCAGCGAGGTGGGGTGCAACAGCCTGGCAGCGGCGCCGACAACAGCTACCCAACAGATGCGTGGCAGCAACTGAGTCAGATGCAGTATGCGCTGGCAGGAAGAATCCGAAATTCACCCCCGTTCCCTCACGCAGAAATCATTACGCGTGCCTTCACATGCAACACATCGCTGCTCCTCTGGCCAACTGGGCTATTTTGTCTCTATCAGACGAATCAATACGCGATTTCTGCTTGATCAGACGAATCTATATAAGTTTCCTGAAAAAACATATGATGCTATAGCCTTGGTCTTGGCTCACATATGGCCCATAACCTAAAGTCTGCCGCAGCATATGAACTACACAGTTCGTGCCTGAAACCTAGACCAACAGACTAAATTAGTCTGCTAACGAGGGCCCTGCTCCTAAATCTCCCCTTACATGGGGCCATTCATGTACCGGTACCAGCTGATCTGTGCCTTAGCCCATGCTGTCTGTACACACCGAATGTACTGTTCTAACGGGTGCAACGAATCGAGTAAGCGAGGATTGCACGAAGTTGGCAAACAAATACGAGTATGAGCAAAGGCATGAACAAATACTTGTAGCGAAAATAAGCCAACGGTAACGCGGTGCGTATGAGTTAACTAGTGCAATGCTGGCAGCGAGGTTCGGGCTAGCCCCGAAGCGTAGGCCTAGGGCCTCAGAATTCAGAAAAAAAACGTGGATTTTAGTAAAAGATACTTAGATTTCATGCTTATTTTCTAGTGGAGGCTGATTATTCAGTCATTTATTTCACAAGTACGCTGATTTTTCAGCTCTTTTTCTATCATGTACGCTGATTCCTCAGCCTTAGCTCGAACAAGAACACGGAATCTAGTACTTCCGTGGTTTGTGACAAGAGCAGTGGATTCTGAAACTTCAATATTACCCTTTCAATCACCCTAGAAATGCACCTCTCACAAGTTGCCCCTCAGACCAACCAAGCATCGCAAGTATGGCCTTGTTGTCGACGTACAGAACTGGAGGAGGACGAGGTCGCTCCCCCAAGTCGTTCAGCAGGTAGGTCGGCTAGCGTAGCTCCTGTGCAGCCATAGCCCCAGCATAGATCTCGGCCTCACAGCTGGAACCAAGCACAGAAGAACGAGTGGACCTCCACGAGACAGAACCAGAGCCAAGACTGAAGGTGTAACTCTGTGACGAACGCTGAGTCGCCTGGTCGTCGGCCCAAGAAGCGTCGGAGTGTCCTGTGAGTACCACTGAACCCTGTCCTCCAAGTACGAGCCCCATGCCCGATGTACTGCACAAGTAACGCAGTACCCTCTTCGCAGCATCCCGGTGTGTTGGACTCAGGCGCCTCGTGCTGTTTCTTTCGTGATAGCACCACCCTCACTCCTCTTCCTGCACCTGTCCCAGTCCGACTGGCTGACCCCTCCGGGGGACCGGTCGTGGCCCGTTCCTCCACTGTCCTCCCGTGTCTGGCGGTTCCGTCCGGCTCACTCTCAGGTCTTCACCTCCCCTCGTTCTCTACGAACTTGGTGAGTACCGCTGCCCTCCAGGATGCGATGGTCACTACCACCACTCCTGGGGGTCAGCGTGTGTCGATCTGCACGTGCACACGGACGGGACATCACCTGGCCACGTTCACTCGTCGGCCAGGGTTGATTCTGTACACCCTCGCTACCGAGCCTTCTCAGGTAGCTGCGTCAGCTCAGGTGTCCGCGTCAGGTCAGGTAGCCGCCTCTTGCTCGTGTCGCCTCCTGTCGCACCAGACTCTTCTGTGGCACCGCCGCCTGGGTCACCCCTCCCTGCCACGTCTTCGTGGCATGCACTCTCGTCTTCTTGTCTCTGGTCTTCCCAGGTCTCTGCCTCCTCTGCCGCCCTCGCCTGCCCCGCCTTGCCTCCCTTGCGTCGAGGGGCGGCAGCGCGCCGCTCCTCACTCCTCGTTTCCCCCGACGACTGCTCCCCTGCAGACTCTCCACATGGACGTGTGGGGCCCTGCCCGCGTCAGTGGTCAGAGCCGCGAGCGCTACTTTCTGCTGGTTGTTGACGACTACACGCGGTACACCACGGTCTTCCCCTTTCGCAGCAAGGGTCAGGTCGTTGATGTCTTGATCCCTTGGATCCGCACTGTCCGACTTCAGCTCCGCGAACGCTTCGGCCAGGACCTTCCTGTCCTGCATCTGCACTCTGACAGAGGTGGTGAGTTCTCCTCCGACCTCTTGAGGGAGTTTTGTCGTGGGGAGGGCATTCTCCAGTCGTTCACGCTTCCGGATTCCCCTCAGCAAAATGGGATTGCTGAGCGCCGCATTGGTTTAGTCATGGAGGTAGCTCGTACCTCCATGATCCATGCGGCTGCTCCCCATTTTGTGTAGCCGTTTGCGGTCCAGTACGCTGCGCATCAGCTCAACCTCTGGCCCCGTCTCTCCTTGCCGGAGACCTTACCGACACTGCGTTGGACGGGGGAGGTTGGCGATGCGTCGGTGTTCCGGGTCTGGGGTTCTCGTACCTTTGTTCGCAATACGTCCGTGGACAAGCTCTCCCCCCGTGCTATCCTCCGCGTCTTCCTTGGCTTTGTCCGTGACGCGCATGGCTAGCAGTTTTACCACCCCACCTCGCGCGTGTCCTCCCGTCTCAGGACGTCACGTTCGACGAGTCGGTTCCCTTCTACCGTCTCTTCCCGTCTCGGGCGAACATAGTCGATGGCATGTGGATCTTCAGGGTGAAGCGGCCGCCGAGTTCTCCGCCCGCCTTCAAGGCGCGTTACGTTGCTCGAGGCTTCAGTCAGCGACAGGGAGTTGACTACTTCCAGACCTTCTCCCCCACCCCAAAGATGACTACTCTTCGGGTGTTGCTGCACGTCGCTGCTCAGCGTGACTACGAGTTACACTCTCTGGACTTCAGCATAGCATTCCTGTAGGGCAGCCTGCACGAGGAGATCTGGCTGCGCGACCACCTGGTTTCTCTGGGACGTTTCCTGCAGGTAACCAGTGGAGCCGTCGCCGGCCAGTCTATGGTCTCCGCCAGGCGCCTCGCGAGTGGCACGACACGCTGAAGACTACACTTGCGGCTCTTGGGTTTGCTCCTTCTACTGCGGACCCGTCACTGTTTCTACGCACCGACACCTCTCTGCCGCCGTTCTACGTCCTCGTGTACGTCGACGACCTAGTCTTTGCCACTGCTGACACTGAGGCAGTGACCCTTGAGAAGTCCGAGCTGCAGAAGAGACACACCTGCACTGACCTGGGTGAACTGCGCAGCTATCTTGGCCTGCAGATCACCCGAGACAGAGCACGGCGCACCATCACACTGACTCAGTCACACATGGTGCACCAGGTCCTTCAGCGCTTTGGCTTCCAGTTCTCCTCGACACAGCCCACTCCTCTGTCTACCAGCCACTCGCTCTCAGCTCCACCTTCGGACGAGTCCGTAGAGCCGAGTGGTCTGTACCCAGAGCTTGTGGGTTGCCTCATGTACCAGATGACTTGCACACGACCTGACCTCGCATACCCTCTCAGCCTTCTGGCTCGCTTTGGGCTCCCGGTAGGCACCGAAAGGTGCACTGGGATGCTGCAAAGAGGGTACTGCGTTACTTGTGCAGTACGTCGGGCATGGGGCTCGTGCTTGGAGGATGGGGTCCAGTTGTTCTCACCGGTCACGCAGACGCCTCCTGGGTTGACGACTCAACTACGAAGCGGTCTTTACAGGGTTACACCTTCAGCCTTGGTTCCGGCTCTGTGTCGTGGCGGTCTACCCGCTCGTCTTCGGTTCTCAGCTCCAGTTGTGAGGCTGAGATCTACGCCAGGGCTATGGGTGCTCAGGAGCTCCGCTGGCTGACCTACTTGCTG